CTTAACCTGAAAGCCCCAAGCCCCAAAACCCTAAATCTTCAGGCCCAAACCTCTTACAACCCCTAAACTCAAAACACCAAGTCCTCGGGACAAAGCTCTTGTAAACCATAAAAGTCAAAACTCAGGTGGACCCCCCCTCACCCAGTAATGGTGACTATAACGGATAATAAGAATGATATTAGGGTCATCTCATCTTCCTATTATACCACTATTACGGGGCTGGGGGGCCCTCCTAAGTCATAACCCTAAACCCCAAATCCCTAAACCCTAGAATCCCTCAACCCTAAAAACCCTAAACCCTAAGTAACCCTAAGCCTGAAACCCCAAATAACCCTAAACCCCAAATAACCCGAAAACCTGGAAACCCACCTCCAGGCTGAGGCCCCCATGATCCGTGTTTGCGTCCAAAGCGACTGGCAAGCCGCATATGGGAATATGTTGATGGATGAAATGTTGCACCACCTAGGGGCCCTAAACTACTGTAATTCCTGGGACTTTAGGGACTTAAGGTGGTGCAAGATTTCCTCCATCAACAGTATGTTGCGATATGTGGGAGCATATTGGTTTAGGGTTTAGGGTTTAGTATGAGAGCATATGAGCTATAGTCTACACTCCAGTATCCCTCTTCATAAGCCCTAGTCTAGGGTTTAGTGTTTAGGGTGTGGGGTCTAGAGTCGTAGTATCCCCCTTAATAACCCCTATAATACTCCCCTGTATACTCCCCTAGATACTCACCTTTAAGGAGTTTATACTATAGCTCATCTGGGAATATGTAGCGATATATGGGAGTATATGGGGGGGTGGGGGGGGGGAAGGCAAAGAGTATATATACATATATATATATATAGAAGTGTACTGATACTACCTCAATAACGGAGCATCCAATGGAAAGGGGCATGGAGAAGTAACTAGAAACTACAGTTATATACTTGTCAATAGGTAAACGAGTATTGCTTTCTCAGTTAACGAGTCCAGATGAACACACCCCAAAACACTACAGCCACCATTATCGTAGGGAAGCTGAAAATAGCGATCTGCAATTTTGAGAAGCTCCCAGGAGTGTGTGTGTGTGTGTGTGTGCGATTAATGGGAATTTTGGGGCTAGAGCGGGGCACTGGGCGTGACGAGGCCAGGAACCTGAACGAACAAGGGGTAAGGGCGAAACAAGGCTTCAATAAGCATCAAACCGTGGCAGTCTGGGACAAACTGATTTATAGTCCAAACTTCCCTCGGCCCTATAACAGGAACCGTATATATGGTAGTTGTATTAGGGTCCTCTTATAGTCCTATTACACCACTATTACTGGCAGGATCCCTGATTGAAGGTATATTCCCCAATGAAGGGATACATTTGGGACTTTCTGGGCGAGGGGTCCCATAACAGGACCCCGTACGTAGTGAGGTACTTGGAACAGCATAGAGTAGGAAAGCTACATGTTGTATCCTCTATCGGCGTCTGGGTGTTTTGAATTGAAACAACCAGCATTTGCCCATTGAAGCTGGACTTTTCTAGCGCTTACACACGAAAATCTCTGTGCTTCAGCAACAAAACTACACCGCATCCTCAAGCACATGAAGACAAGTACAAAGCACAGCAAACATCATATTGTTGTCTTTCTGGATTTTCCGGTTTTCTGACAAACCCCTAAAGGATGGCAGGAATTGTACTTCCATTATTACTCATATTACCCTTCAATATAACTTACTATAACTGTTACCATTACTCATTACTATTATCCATTATTCGCGTTGTTACGGGTATTACTACTGCTACTATGATTGCTATTATTATGGACCTACAGAATGCCGAATGTAGGCTATGTACTTTCCCCCTTAGTAAATCCAGGATCCCGTGCAGTGAGCGCATGCTTTGCAGGTGAGGTAAAGCCCAAACCATAAGTCATCAACACAAAACCCTAAACATTGAACCCTAAACCCTAAATGAACCCTAACATTCTGAAACCTAAACTTTCCCTAAACCCCTAAACTCTGATCCCAAAACCCCAAAACCCTAGAGCCTAAACCCTAAACCCTAAAACTCCTACACCAGAAGCCCTGAAAGCCGTCTGCCTTCGTAGAGGGGATCTGCTTCCTCCTGCGGCACGTGCCCGAAGGACAGAAGCCGCGTGTTCACTGAGCGCTGCCAGGAGACGAGGGGCAGATCCTAGGGCGGTTTTAAAGGTTTTTGGGTTTTTTTGGGTTTAGGGTTTAGGGTTTAGGGCTTAGGGTTTAGGGTTTAGGGTTTAGGGTTTAGTGTTTAGGGTTCTAAGGGTCCATGTACCCAATATTCAAGTACTTGGGATTTGGGTAATAGTAATCCTAGTATAGGTTTTGGGTAAGTATATGATTATTAGGTACTTGGACCCTTAGGGAAAGGTTTTTGGGTTTTTTGGGTTTAGGGTTGAGGGGTTTTGGGTTGGGGTTTTACTGTTTTGGGATTTTAGGGTTTAGGGCGTTTTTTAGGTTTTAGGGTTGGGGGGTTGAGGGTTTGGGGTTTTAGTGTTTTGGGATCTTAGGGTTTTAGAGTTTAAGCTTAGGGCGTTAGGTCTTATGGAGCTTTAGAACTTGAGGGTTTAAGGTCTAGGGCTTTAGCTTCTATAGAGCTTCAGAGCTTTCTAAGCTTTTAAATTAGGTTTGGGTTTTAGGTTTCATAGAGCCTTAGAGACGGTTCAGCGTTTCAGGGCTTGAGCTTTCACAGGCAACCATAGAACATCTTGAAGGCTTTACTTGTAGGGGGAAAAACGGAAAAGAAAATGAGGTCAACTATGTCATTTAGTGCTGAGGGTTTAGAGGCGTGAACAAGGAGAATGCTGGAGAATCACATGGAAAAG